ATCCAAATGTAGTATTAAAGATAGATTGGAGAAAGTCTGATAATTAGTTGGCTATGGCATGTTGCAGGAAGAAACTGAGATAGGCCACAGAAAACCAGAAGTGATATTTTTAATAGTATTTCAGAGTCAAAATCTGTATAGATGTGGAGGAATCAAAGATGAGTATACTAAATGAACTTAATCTCTGGTTTATTTCCCATTGTGTGTGTATGCATGTATTTATGTATGTCTGTAGAGGACTGGTAATATGCTGACTGTATCTGTTACCTCTGCTCTGCTGCCTGGACCTTAAAGTCATTCATTGAAGGAGACAGTTATTGTGTAAGATTGATGATTAAAGTAAAGTACTGGAAGAGATGGGATATACATAGAGAAGGGACAAAACTTTTGAGATATGCCTACATTTAGAGACAAGAAGAGACAAGACAGCCTGTAAGGGTAGGAGGAGAAATTATTAGAAAGTAAGTTCTATGACAGAAGCATGGATTTTCCCAATGGCTGCCAAAAGATCAGCCAGGGTAGGACTAGGAAAACAGTAGGAAATCAAGTGTTAAGAAAGTATTCATTACCATTACTAAATCAGCCTCATAATAACCAGTTTCTCTGGCTATTAACACTTTTTTTTCCTACTAGGCACTGTGGCTCAAGCCTCTAATCCTAGCACTCTGGGAGGCCAAGGCCGGTGAATTGTCTGAGCTCAGGAGTTAGAGACCAGCCTGAGCAAGAGCAAGATCCCATCTATTAAAAAAAAAAAAAAACCACGTGTTGTTGCAGGCACCTATAGTCCCAGCTACCAGGCAGGCTCAGGCAAGAGAATTACTTTAAGCCCAAGAGTTTGAGATTGCTGTGAGCTATGATTCCATAGCACTCTACTGAGGGTGACAAAGTAAAACTCTCTCTCAAAAAAAAATAGAGAAAGAGAGGTAGAGTAAACAGTATGGTCATCAATCATTGCGGTCAAGAATTTAATAAATGCATACTAGAAGAGTTATTGAGTGATATGGATTTCAAATAGATGAAGCTGTGAAAAAGTGGGCTTCAAGGAATAGTGGAAGTAATATCATATGTATACTCCTGAGTTGTACCTCCTCGTCTGTGAACATGAGAGAATTGAAGAAGCAATGGCTGACTTTTTGAGATGACGGCCCAGGAATATAGTGCTAAGTCAACCAGAAGAATGCTAACTTTAGCTAAAGTTAGAATGTGTTGAAAACACATTGAGGGAAAAAAAGTTAAGACTATAGTTGACCCTTACACAATGCAGGGACTAGGTATATCAATCCCCACATAGCTGAAAATTTTTGACTGTCATAGCCTTCTATTGACCAGAAGCCTTACTGGTAACATAAACCATTAGGTAACACATGTTTTGAATGTTTGTATGTTATATGTGTTTATATACTGTATTCTTACAATAAAGTACTATGTAGAGACCAGAATATATTAAGAAAATCATAAGGAAGAGAAAAATACATTTATGGTACTGTACTATATTTATTGATACCGTAAGACTATATTGTCTGTTTATAAGATAGAACATCTGTCTGAAAGGCCAGGCAACCACAGCTGCTGGATTCAATCTGTAGTACATAGCAAGCAATTCAGCTTTTTCTTAGGAATTTTCTTTGCTTTTTGGAGTGTTTCCAGCATCACTGGTGGCACTTCATATGGGTCCCCTAGTGTTATTCAAGGTTTACAGTGTTGCATTTAACATGGTGAAAAATACGGGAAAACCACAAGAAATTGCTTTTTACTGCAACATGCAATTTATTGGGGAGACAAACTACTCAGTTGGTGTCATACAGTGTTTTAAATAGATTCTTGCAATACTTGATCTCACCTCAGTAGCAATAGGAGGTGTCTGCAAAGTTATTACAGTAGTAGAGTAGGTACTACAATTAATTTATATAGTTATGATAAAATAATGAATCTTTGTTTACATTTCTCAACTGCACCTGTAGCCATGTATAGTCTTAAAGTGTTTGTGTACATAAATTAGATAAATTGTAACTTTTCAATGTAACTATTCATGAATGTTTTATAATAACGAAGGACAAAATAGACTAATGTCAACATACTTTTTCTTAATTTTTTTAAATGTTTCTAGACTATGTGATTTGTTAGCAAGTTTTTTCAAATTGTTGCCCATCTCCAAAAATTCCCAATATGTTTATTAGGGGAAAAAACCACTTTTGAGTGAACCTGTGCAGTTCAAACCCCCATTGTTCAAGAGTCAACTGTGTAAGTAATTTTCTTCACAATTATGAGTGGAAAGGGGGAGTTACTAGTGGTAGAAAGTAGACCTGTGTCTTTGGCATGTGATTATAGACCAGTTTAACTTCTTGGCTAGAGAATAAAACTGGTTTTTATTAGATGTAATTTAAATGAAAAATAGAAAACTTGAAAACATGGAGTATTTTTTAATCTCCTAGCGGTTTAAAAGTACAGCCTTTTTCTTATATGTATAAAATAGGTTTTCGGAGATCAGTAAAATTTTGATTTCTTAGATTTTAGAAAGATAAATGTTTTAAATTTTCATAATCATAATGGTATAAGTAAATCATACATATAAATCATGGTTTTCAGTTTATATATTCAAGAAGTATTTGAAGTATAAGTTGCATTGTTAACTTAGTATGGACTTTATACTCATTTTATTTGAAATCTAGATTGCAGAGTATTAAATTTCAGTGAACATATCTTATGGCCTAGAGAGATAGGACGAGAGTAAGGAAACATATTTTTGACTGTGGCACATACACACTTGGGCTGTCTAACCTTTTAGTTTTTTGTTGATCTGGGCATGTTGAATTTATTGCTGGCAAGGTTAACAGGTGGATAAGAATTGCAAAGTTAAGAAATGGAAGCCTAAGTATGCATGATTTTGACAGTAAAATAACTAAATTTTAAAATGTGCTTTCTTTGAATTGCACCAGCAATTTTGATTTGGCTGGGATTCACACATAAATTATTCACTCATTATTGACAACTAGTAGATTCATGTATTCTTTATATGTTTGCCTAGCCCTTTTTGGTGAGGATTAACTAAATGTATAAACACTTGCATTAGAGACAAGCTACCAATCCTTGCTACTTGGGAAAACTCAAAGCTTTGAAAACCTTTTATTGTACACAAACTTATACCAAAAGTGGAGGTAAAAAGGAAAAAAATCCACTAAACCACAGCACATGATAACTTGACAGTCTCATTTTCTTATAGGTTTGCATTAACTTATGAAGGTGTTAAATTTATTTAATTTTTTGAGTAGATAATAAAATCATATAGTCTGAAAATTCTCATGGTTTAAAAAAGTACCCTACCCACCCATGTTCCATCTGCTCTTTCATCTACCCTTCCTGCTGTATTCTGTCTTGATAAACATGAAGGGTAGATTGTTTACTGAAGTTGCATTAAATAATGGGGTATAATAAAAATTAAATTTAAATAGTCTTTAAACTTTAATGATAATTTTTAGTTTTTTAAAGTCATTCAATTTTACTACTTTTTCTTTAAGAAAAATACATGGAGGGAAATTCCAGCTATTTCAAAACTATATCTTAAATACAGGTAGAAATTATAAAATTGTTAATTAGTATTTGTGTACCATTTTGTAGTTTTAGCATACTTTCATATAACTGCATTTGGTATTTGATGCTCATGAGAACATTGTTAAGAAGGAAGGGTATATATCATTATCTTCATTTTCCTGAGGAAACACATTGGAGTTTGTGTTCTAACTGTCAGCGTTCAAATTCATATCTCTGACTACAAAAGATACGGTCTTTGCACTGTGGCCAAAATCTTAAATCACTTATCATCATTTGAAATGGTTTATATATGTTTTTTGATACTAATTTATATACACGTACATTTGACTGTAATAAAATTGTTAACCTTAAAAAAACTGAGGATACTACAGTAGATACCTAAATACCTGTTTCTATTCAAAAAACCTGTTAAAAAAATTCACATAAGTGCGCTTTGTACTTTTTTCATTAGGGGGAAGAAGGATCTTTGTGTCCAGAATTTTTAACACATTAGGAAGATTTAGATACTAATAGTAACTTAGAAAGAGATATTGAAAATTCTTTTTCCTCCTAAGTATACTTATATTTAAGGTGCAGTTTTCTGTAAGTCACTTCTGTTAGAATTCTTAATGTTGTTTATTATTTGCCTTATTTATGTAAATTGAACTTTGTATCATAAAAAAGAAACCTTAGACAATCTCTTACCTCATTTAGTCCACATTACTAGTGAATACATCATTGCACATATTTGATTTTTTTTACATAACTAACTCAAGTTTCCATTAAATACCACATGAATATATATTTATGCCTCTGTAATACTTAACATTTTCTAGGAATTTTATATTTTTTCCCTGGTTTCTTTAACAAAAAGATACATGTAGGATAGGGATATTTAAGTACCCCTGTTAGTGGGTTGCTGCACAAATTAATATTACCTGCATATTCCTGTTTTTGTTGGGCTCTGAGGTAGCATCACTTTTTGCTATGGTTTTTTTCACCTCTGAAAGGCAGTATGCCTCTGTCTACTTTGCTGATTTTGATATGCTTTTCCCTGTGTGTTTTTAATAAGAGTTCATAAATCCTTGTGGTGAGCTGCAGGTATAAAGAGCATAACTGTTGGACAAAGACCTTTGATAGTTGTTTGGGATATGCAGTGGCCTTTGCTAATGGGGTTCATGGATCAAAGCATTGTTGTGACCTTTGAATAAATGAGATGTTATGATGATTGTATTTTAAGGGAGGGAAGTTATTTTGATACTGTCCTCCATATTGATGTTACTCTCATTTACTCTTGTTATCGAGCTGGATTTAAGTATTAATCATTTAAGGTCAAATTTCTAATATATCCATGTTCTTCAGTGGCTACAACCTGGTTACTATAGCAATTTAGTGAAGTAACTGTCATGAAACTTCTTTTTTGAATTTGGCTTCTCTCTCTCTCTCTCTCTTTTTTTTTTCCTGTCCACCAGGGAGTAACTATTCCCAGTCAAAGGCGCTATGTGTATTATTATAGCTACCTGCTAAAGAATCATCTGGATTATAGACCAGTGGCACTGTTGTTTCACAAGATGATGTTTGAAACTATTCCAATGTTCAGTGGCGGAACTTGCAGTAAGTGCTCAAAATTCTCATCCTTCCGTGTATTGGAACACGTTTCCTACCATGTCTAGAAGTTTATATTTAAAATCTATAAAGAAATTTACCAGGAGAGTGTATTCTGAAGTATTTGAACTGATTAATCCGTTGTTCAGCTCATTAAGGTTAGGAAGGCAAGTCACATTTATGAAAGAAATATCCTTCATCCACCAAATGCAGACTCAATTCTGACCAGATGACTACATCTATTCCATCAGATGTCTAGCATGAGATTAGCAGTGGAATTCTGATGTTTGAGCAAGAACCAGTTCTCTCACATCTTGGAAAGACTAGCTATTGATTGTAATGTTGAAAAGGAATAATACACAATAGGCTGAAATATAATGAGTGAAGAACAGGATTGAGTCAAAGCTTGTGGGATGTTAGAGACGACCTGGATTGGATTAAGATCTGGGTTCCAGTTCCAGTTACTGTGCTCTGTAACCCTGGGCACATTATCTGTCTCTCTTTGAGTCTGCTTATGAATAAAATGCAGAGACTTTGAAATCTGGAACTACCTGCAGAAGTACTAAGTATAGATCATGTCATTAGTGTCTGCCTCTAATTATTTTTCTTTGGCCTAACCTCTGCAATTGTATTTATATACAATATAATATATATGCTGTTAACAAGTAGTTATCTACTATAAGCAAAATAAAAGTTTATTAGCTTATCTAGAAACTGTAAAATTGTTTCTTAACAATTTAATGAACATTATTTCTTTTAATAATTTAGTGATATTTTATAGTTTGCTAACTGACTTTTAGCTTTCAGCTTTAAGTTTTGCTTTTCAGTGTTCATGTAGTTAAAACTTTTTCTATGGCTCGGCACCTGTGGCCCAAGTGGCTAAGGCGCCAGCCACATACACCTAAGGTGGTGGGTTTGAATCCAGCCCAGGCCCACCAAACAACAATGACGGCTGCAACCAAAAAATAGCCGGGCGTTGTGGCAGGTGCCTGTGGTCCCAGCTACTTGGGAGGCGGAGGCAGGAGACTCCATTGAGCCCAGGAGTTTGAGCTTGCTGTGAGCTGTGATGCCATGGCACCCAGGGGGACAGCTTGAGGCTCTATCTCAAAAAAAAAAACAAAAACCTTTTGTGTCCCCAAATTAATTTATGCCCAGAAATTGATTTCTTTATGTTGTTTATCTTTGTCAAGTAGATGTGATTACCTTCATCAGATCTTTCCTGTATTCTCAGAGCAAGGGAACTTTACCAAAGACCACAAATTTACTCTAACAGCATGCTAAATGCTTTTAAAGAGTCTTACTGATACTTTTTTCACCTCAGTACAGTTTTTAAAACAGCCAAGTGCAAGGTACTGAGCTGTTGGAGGTGATTGACATGGGAACTTAACAGATACAGAAAAGGGAAAAGGAGGAAAATACCCATGCTCTCTTCCTAGCATAGATAAGAGCCTAAAATAGTATGGAGGTAATAAAGGAGAACATTCGGTTCAGTAAGCTTATCTAATATAATTCTTTCACATTGGCCTCTCTAGCAAAAATCTCTTGTTAGTTCTGCTCGGCTTGCCTACGTTTATTTATACTCCATTTTATTTTTTTTTTTCTTTTGGTCTCATAGTATTACATTTAAACTTTTACTGTTACTGACTACTGAAATCTTGTTAATCCTTGCTAATTTTCTAGTTTCCTGTTTATGCTGTGTGATTTAATACTGTGTAACAAATCTGTAATTATAATAGAAGTCATATATACTTAATAAAGATTATAAGTGTAAATAATAAACGGTATGTTCAAAAAAAGTTTTGACAAGGATTATCAAATAGTTTCATGGAGGAAGTCCACCTCTTTATTGAATATTAGACAAAGCATACATATCTGATGACAGATTATCACTTAAACAGAAGGAAGTATTACAGGCAGTGGGAAATAGCTTGAATTGAAGCCGAACAGAAGGAAATGAGCTGGGTAAGAAAAGTAGTGGCAGAGAATAGAGTAGGAAGGGAATGTGGGACTTAGTGTGAGAGGATCATGAATGGAGATGACAGACTTAGTTTGATAAATACTATAATATCATGGTACTACTGGAGGCTTAAACCATGTTTTAAGGACAGTATATATAAAGTTGTGATTGTAAAAGGAAAAAAAATAGTGGAAAGTAAACTAGTGATGAGACTTGCATAGAGCCAGATGTGCTAGAGCAATTAAATGGGATTTGGTTAGTTTTTCTTTTGCCATTTATAACCAAAGATTTTGTCGAAGTTTTGATCCTGGTCAGGTGAATGATTTCACAGAAAGGAGAAGAAAGAAAAGTGAATATCAGAATTGGAGACATGAAAGTTGATATTTTAGTTTTAAATCAGCTGAAAGTGAGCCATTCATGTGAAGATACTCAGTGAGTACTTGGAAGTGTAAGTTTGAATCTAAGTGAGAGATACCTGATGTTTTGAGGAGGTATCAGGGAGAAAGTAGGTAAACCTATCATGTAAATACGTGTGGAGTTAGGGGAAAGAAGAGAGTGAGGACAGATTAGAGGAAAGGCAGCATAAGTTCGAGAGGTAGAGGAGGAATCACGAAGAAAACTAAACTAGGGGGTGAAAAATAAGAGTATGGGGCGGCACCTATGGCTCAGTGGGTAGGGCGCCAGCCCCATATACCAAGGGTGGCAGGTTCGTAGCTGGGCGTTCTGGCGGGTGCCTGTAGTCCCAGCTACTCGGGAGGCTGAGGCAAGAGAATCACTTAAGCCCAGGAATTGGAAGTTGCTATGAGCTGTGACTCTACGGCACTCTACCATGGGCAATAAAGTGAGACTCTGTCTCTTAAAAAAAAAAGAAAGAAAGAAAAATAGAGTATGAGACAACTGCAAAGTTGTCAGAGGTATTAACTTCTTAATTGATTGTCTTAATATTTCTAAATGAAGGAAAAGTTAACTATAGGATTAAAAATGTTGATAAAAGATAATTAATGTGATTTTTTTCTCAAGATTATATCAGTACGTATGTATCCAAGAAAATTTAACTCTGATTTTTATTTACTGGGTATGGATTTGTTTTTTGTTTGTGTTTTTTTTTTGGAACTCAGTCGGTTTATATCAAAGGATAATATAAGAATTGTCTGAAAAGTCAGTCAGAATCATACTTATATTCGACTTCTGATAAGTTAGACGATATAGGTATATGTAAAATGTAGAATTCACATAGAGGTACTCTTGTAATCTCATGTAGATTTTGAGTGAAATTTAGTGATTTGAGCTTTACTGCTTATTTTTATTAAAACAATTTTAGCTTAGTTTTTTAAGAGAGGTTCTAAGTAGCATTGATTTAATTAGGCTATGAATTATTTATGCAATCCTAAAATTCTTGAATTTTAGATGTAATTTAATTAAAAACTGGCTATACTGTTAGTTTACTTTCTAATGTCCTACAATCAGGATTCAGATTCTGAATTAGCGGCGTTAAGATTAATAAGATGTTAAGATTAATACGGTGTTTTGTCTCTGTTAATTTTATCACAGCTATGAAATCAGACCTTGTTCATTTGCTTTTTCATACTAAACTTCCCAGAGAAATTTTCAGTATCACATAATAAAGTTTTGTGAAATGGCTCATTGCACTTTGAACCTTGAGTCAAGGAAGTAAAATTTATAGACAGATTGTTGTTGTAATATTTCTCCTTTTTGAGGTAGCTTTTTTTCCTCGTAATAAATGTTTTATAAATCCATATCAGAATAACCCTGCATGCTTTCATCAGAGATATTTTTTGACTAATATTGCTTTAGATATCACATAGATGAGGTAGTAGGTGTTTATTAAATTGAAAATTTCATTACTTTGGTTTAGCTTTTACCTTGTTCTTAGTCATTGGTCACGTTGAGACTTCATGTGTAATGACACCTTTATATGCTAAGCATTTTGTTTACAGGTGTAGGTATATATTTCTTTATTCAAGCTTGTGTTTCTGTTTCTTAATTATCTTGGCATATTTTCTTCAAAAGCCACTTTCTAAAGTTAATCAGTTTCTTTTTAAATAGACTTTTGTAACTCCTTGGTGTACTACAAATGAGTTATAGTGTGTCATATTATTTAGGTAACTTTAGATTTTTTTTTTTTTTTTTGAGACAGAGTCTCATTTTATTGCCCTTGGCAGAATGCCTTAGCGTCAGAGCTCACAGCAACCTCCAACTCCATTGGAGGCGATTCTCTTGCCTCAGCCTCCTGAGTAGCTGGGACTACAGGAGCCCACTACAACACCCAGCTATTTTTTTGTTGCAGTTTGGCCGGGCCAGGTTTGAACCCACCACCCTCGGTATATGGGGCCGGCGCCCTACTCACTGAGCCACAGGTGCCGCCCACATAACTTTAGATTTTTAAATCTTAATATTCATTAGTCTTTAATTAATGTTATTAGCTAAACATTAATGTTTTAGCAAAAATGATTTATTGAACAGATTAAAAAAATACTCCTTCTCTTTCTATATGTACCACCTCTTAGTTGGATTGCTAATGTAAAAGTATGAGGGATTTTGAGAATTTGTTTTACTAGTTATTTTAAAACAGACATGTGCCAAAACCAAATAGTTATTAATGAAAATGCTGTGTTTTGGAGAGAAAAGAGGTTGGGTTGCAATTTTTACATGAGGTCTGTTGCATTTTTTTGCAGACATTTCAAATCTCTTCCTTCCTGTTTCTCATGATGGTGGCTTTATACACCTTACAAAATAAATACAAGCTGTAGGTAAAATGAATATTGGTTAATATTTTTATAAATATTTAGATTTTTTTTTTATTATAACTTCCTCTTGTGAGCATGTAATGATAATGTATTTGTGATTCTTGTTACATACTAGGGACTTCAAAATACTACAGCAAAGGGCAGCACCTGTGGCTCAGTCGGTAGAGCACTAGCCCCATATGCCAAGGGTGGTGGGTTTGAACCCAGCCCCGGCCAAACTGCAACAACAACAAAAAATATAGTTGGGTGTTGTGGACACTCATGCTTCCAGGAACTTCGGGCAGCTGAGGCAAGAGAATCGCCTAAGCCCAGGAGTTGGAGGTTGCTGTGAGCTGTGTCTGCACAGCACTCTACTGAGGGCGATGGAATGAAACTCTGTCTCTTAAAAAAAAAAAACTACAGCAAGTATTTGTTTTAAAAGTTACCTTTTATGCAGTTAACAAATGTGCCAGAAAATTATTTTATCATATTTAATGCTTAAAGTAATTTATACTAGAATTTTTAGGATAATTTTAATGTTAAAAGTTTTGATATCATACTGCTAGGAATCTAATCTTGGGATTTGCTGTTCATCAAATGGCAATTGATTTTTAATACCAGCAACAGAATTTTATTTTGAAGGTCCAAATTAGAGGAATTCTTGTATTGATTGTATTTTTTATCTAAATTATTTTTCATTGATTTGTTTAGATCAGGATAACAGATGGAGAATTACTATTTATGCTGATATTGGTCATTAAAATCATTCTCAACAGTAGACAGTTAAAGGCATTTCCTGTGAAATGATGCTAGTATGTATTTAACCATGCAGATCCTCAGTTTGTGGTCTGCCAGCTAAAGGTGAAGATATATTCCTCCACTTCAGGACCCACACGACGAGAAGACAAGTTCATGTATTTCGAGTTCCCTCAGCCGTTGCCTGTATGTGGTGACATCAAAGTAGAGTTCTTCCACAAACAGAACAAGATGCTAAAAAAGGTTTGCATTTTACTTTCATTGGGAAAAAATATCTAAAATAGCCATATTTTGAAGAGTAACCTCAGATCTTTTACATAAAGCCTTTGGTTGGGCAGAAATCATTTTTTATGACTGGCCTCTAATGAACTACAATTAGTTTTCTTTTTCATTTTTGGAACCAGTGACACTCATTCTGTTGCCTGGGTAGAGCATCATGGTGTCAGAGCTCACAGCAACTTCAAACTCTTGGGCTCATGCGTGCCTCCTGGCTCAGCCTACTGAGTAGCTGAGAATCTGCCACCATGCTGGGCTAGTTGTTTCTATTTTTAGTAGAGCAGGTTCTTTCTTGGACTAGTCTTGACCTCCTGATCTCTAGCAATCCACAGGCCTTGATCTACCCACCTCAGGCTCCCGGGGGCTAGGATTACAGGCATGAGCCACCTCACCGGCCTACAATTAGTTTTCTATTAGATCTGCAGGTGCTTTGCTTACTGTAGCATTGATGAGGCATTATAATGGTAATAATCCTGTTAGAAGGAAGAGGCCATGGGCATTATGTAATACATGAGATGTATTTTCCTGAACAAAGATGGTTAATTAGCTGAGGCCCTAATTTAAAAAAAATTTTGTTCTATAGATAGAAATAAGATTTGTTCTGTAGCCTTATATAACGACATAAACCACTTTTTCCTCCATTTCGGTTTATGTTTTTTAATACTGTGTTATTTTCTATTTAGCTTCCTCAGATTTATTGGTTATTTAGTTTTTTAGCTGAGAGATCAATATGAAGAGGAAGTAATAAAGAATGAAAAATATGGTGGTATTCAAATATGCAGGTTTAGAAAATTAGTAAGGTTTGTCTTTTACTGAGCTACATTTAGAGAAGGTAAGAACTCATTTTAAAACATTATCTTTGTTTAAAATACTAAGTGTGACTGTTTCAAATGACCTCAGGTATAGAATTTTTAGTTAGTAATGAAGAAAAGGACTAGCTTTGTATAGTGTTGTTACCTTGTTAAATATGTTATATTGTTAGCTTATTGGAAGCCTTTAGACATTCTTAGTAATACCATTAAGGTTTTTTTTAATCTTTTTCTTTTGAAAGAAAATAAGAGGAAATTTTACTTACTGCAAAAATTTTAAATGCTACTTTGACATTAACCAGAAGTCAAAGAAATATAATTTCCTTTATTTAGAATCCAGTTAGCTGGAAAACTCACAAAATATTAAACTGATTTTTTTTTTTTTTTTTACCAGAAACTCATTTCCTACCTTTTCTGTATAAATCAGCTAAATATATCTTGGTAACTTTAAAATGTTATTTCTATTCCCAGAAGTGTTAGTAAATGTTTTAAAATTAAGATAATTCGTATGTTTTGGGATTTTCCCCCCATTCATTATAATACTTAATATACATAAAATTTTATATTTTGCATTTGGAAATAGTCAACCTGAATTACCATTTTCCTACAACTTTAGAATGTACTAATTCTTGTTTCAGTTCTTAATCACCAGTATATTAACATATTTAAAATTAATTAAATATTTGTAATGTGTATGTGTCTTAGATTTTGTAAACTTCCATTTTAATTTCCCTGCTTCATTTAAATGTCTGTTGTGATTTAAACAAAAACAATTTTGATATAATCTGTGCACATAAGGAATTGACATTTTTGGAAACTTAACATATTAGCTTTATTTTCTTCTGACTCTAAGTAAAATATAATAACTAATTCAATGACTTTGCTAAAATAATTGAAATTAACAAATTAACTTGTCATGTATAAAATTGCCTTACTAGGTTCTATTAAAGGATATAATGAAGTTTAAGGCATAGATCCTTAAGGGTTTTACTTACATTCTTAGAGAAAAACACAAAACTTGAAAATAAATTAGAATAAAAGATGTAAATGGCACTTTAAGACACCAGATAAGATGTCACAGAGCCTTAATTATTGTTAGGCTTGATTCACATCAGGCCAAATTTCTATGTTGGTCAAGAACTTCTGTTGTGGTTTTTGATTAAGAAAGCTCCATATTACTACTATTTTTTGAAGAATAGGCATCTTATAACATAATAAGAAATCAGAGGTACTCCTCCCTGCCTCCTTATATTTCCTTCTGAAAGTTTTTAAGCATATATTATCAAGTAAGAAATCGAAGCCACTCTGAGTTTGTACCACCATGTAAGTACCGTGTTTCCCCGAAAATAAGATCTACCCCCAAAATAAGCCCTAGCAGGATTTCTATGCGTTTGTTAAATATAAGCCCCACCCTGATAATAAGACCTAGTGATGGACATGGCTGCACAGCTTATCTGCATAACCATGTCATCCATTTCAGCCTCTGAGCAGTAAGGAAGACTGGAATAACCTTTTATCTGCCACAGCTCCTTTCTCCGAGCTATTCACACTTGTGCAGGTGGCAGGTGGTAACTGCGGTTGCAGGTATCCTATTGAGCAAGTGAGAACGGCTAGGGGAACCCATCACTAGCACTAGCCCCACCAACAAGATTGGCTCCCCCTGTCAGGTTCCAGAAGAAGATGACTTAACTGCATTTGAATAAATGTAGATAGTTGTATTATACTTAATAAAAATAAGACATCCCCTGAAAATAAGCCCTAATGTGTCTTGTTGAGAAAAAATAAACATAAGACAATGCCTTATTTGGGGGGAAACAATGGTAGACGTGTATTTGCCATGCTTCATCAGGGAAGTCTCACTAACCTTCCGAGAACTTTTTAAGACAAAAGTAAGTTATCTTCATTCTCGTGAGATTATATTTTGGTCTAGAATATGAGTAAAGGAAAAATCATGTGAATGAGACTACAACAGGTAACCACAGATTGCCAAATAAAAATAAAAATAAAGACAAAAGTAAGTTATCTTCATTCTTGTGAGGTTTTATTTTGGTCTAGAATATGAGTAAAGGAAAAATTATGTGAATGAGCATACAACAGGTAACCACAGATTGCCAAATAAATTGTTTGGGTTTGCCTTAATTCAAAATATCAAATGATACCTAACTTCATTGTTGAATATAGATGACATTTTCTTTATTAAAAAAATAAAATATTTAATAAAAATAAGTGTCTTTTTTTTTCCTTTTTTTTTTCTTAGGATAAAATGTTTCATTTTTGGGTAAATACGTTCTTCATACCAGGACCAGAGGAAACCTCAGAAAAAGTAGAAAATGGAAGTCTATGTGATCAAGAAATTGATAGCATTTGTAGTATAGAGCGTGCAGATAATGACAAAGAGTATCTAGTACTTACTTTAACAAAAAATGATCTTGACAAAGCAAATAAAGACAAGGCCAACCGATATTTTTCTCCAAATTTTAAGGTCAGTTAAAACATTTTGGGGAAGTGATGATGATGTGTGTGTGTATGTGTGTGTTTTAAGACATTGTATCTTAAGTGAGAAAGGTGTAGCGCTAATGAGTTTTTAACTAGTTTTAATGAGTCCTTAACTAGTTTTTAAATTATGTATTATTTAGAAGCAATATTTCTGTATTAATAGCAGTAACCTGAAAGTTTCTAATTAAATACCTTGATGCACACATAGTCAAAAAAGCTGCATTTTTCCTTCCCTAATTCTTTGTTGCTGTTGTTGTTTGCTGAAATCTGGCGCAGAGGTACAGGAGGGGAGTTAAGTGAGTAGGAGTCAAATTAGGAATGGGAGAAGAAAAATGGATAGAACTGTTATTTGGGAATGTTTTCACTGCTTCTACTCTTGACTCCTTTCCAAGTTAGTCTTTAGTCTTAACACCTTAGAGTGATCTTAAAAATAGACTTGATTGTGCCACTCCTATTGATACTTTATAAAAACCTTGTGGGTTTTTTACCCTGACTACAAGGATATGCATCAACTCTAGCTACCTTCTCTCGTTGCTCCCTGAGATTCGTGTTTTACTGGTCTCCAGATCTTCACAGCACTAAGCTTCTGCTTCTGGTCTTTCCACTTATTTTCTTCTCTTTGTACCTTTCTACCCTTCAGTCTGTTCATCTTTCAAAGACCTTCTCTGATTGTCCTCACCTTTTATTCTTTTTCTATAACCCTTTTTATTTCCTCATGTTGTATCTCGTTTTTTTCCATTTCATTACATCTCTCATTGTATCTGTTTCATATATATACACACATATATATGTATGTATGTGATATGTATGTATTTCTACTTATATAGGCAAGAATTTTTTTTTTTTTTTTAGAGAGAGAATCTCACTTTATCACCCTTGGTAGAGTGCCGTGGCATCACACAGCTCACAGCAACCTCCAGCTCCTGGGCTTAGGCAATTCTCTTGCCTCAGCCTCCTGAGTAGCTGGGACTACAGGTACCCGCCACAATGCCTGGCTATTTTATTGTTGCAGTTTGGCTAGGGCTGGGTTTGAACCCGCCACCCTTGGTAGATGGGGCTGGCACCCTACTCACTAAACCACAGGTGCTGCCCATAAAACTTTTTCTTTTTTTTGGCCAGGGCTGGGTTTGAACCTGCCACCTCTGGCATATGGGGCCAGAGCCCTACCCTTTTGAGTCACAGGGGCTGCCTCTAGGCAAGAATTCTTAAGATTAAAAGATCTGATATGTAATTACTCCCAATGATTGTCATTTTTTCTTTTTCTATTTTGTATTCTTCCTGATCTTTTTTAACCTTTCCATTCACCATACTCTTCTCTTTTTTCTTTTTGATTCTCTAATTTTTCATTCCATTTTTATAACATGTAACAAACTTAACCATAGCTTATAAGCACAAGAATATTGCGAGTCATACTTTTTTTTTTTTTTGAGACAGAGCCTCAAGCTGTCCCCCTGGGTAGAGTGCTGTCGCATCACAGCTCACAGCAACCTCCAACTCCTGGGCTCAAGCGAGTTTCCTGCCTCAGCCTCCCAAGTAGCTGGGACCACAGGCGCCCGCCACAACGCCTGGCTATTTTTTGGTTGCAGCCGTCATTGTTGTTTGGCGGGTCCGGGCTGGGGATTCGAACCCGCCACCTTAGGTGTATGTGGCTGGAGCCTTAGCCACAGGCGCCAAGCCTGCGAGTCATACTTTTAAAAAGTGAGGCAAGGCCTTAAACAAAAATAGATCTAATATTAAATGCCTCTAGATCTTAAATTTAAGTATTTCAAAGTTTCTTCTATTTTTTTTTATTTTTAATTGACACATAATAGTTGTACATATTTTGGGTTGCAGAATGATATTTCCATACATGTATACAATGTGTAATGGTCAAGTCATGGTAATTAGCATATCCATCACCTCCAACATCTGTTATTTATTTGCTTTGAGAAAATTCAAAATCCTCCCCTCTGGGCTCAGTGCCTATAGTACAGTGGTTACAGCGTCAGCCACATACACCAAGACTGGCGGGTTTGAACCTGGTCTGGGCCAGCTAAACAACAATGACAACTGCAACAAAAAATAGCTGGGCATTTTGGCGGGTCCTTGTAGTCCCAGCTACTTTGGAGCCTGAGGCAAGAGAATCTCTTGAGCCCAAGAGTTTGAGGTTGCTGTGAACTGTGACACCACTGCACTCTACTGAGGGCGACATAGACTCTGTCTCAAAAATAATAATAATAATCCCCCCTTCTGTTTATTTAAAAATAAACAATAAGTTATTGTTGACTATAGTCTCCCAGTAGTAGTATAGAAAACTAGAACTTAGTCCTAGCAAGCTGGAATTTTGTATTTGTTAACCAGCCTCCTCTCTCCACTATTCTTCTCACCCTGTAACAACCACAGTTTTACTCTCTGCTTTTAGGCATGCAACACTTTTAGTCCCCACATTTCAGTGAGAATATGTGATATTTATCTGTCTGTGCCTGACTTAACTTTGACATAATGTCCTCCAAGCTAGACATTTCTGTTAGAATCTATATTTCCTTTCTTTTTTTTCTAAATCTGCATTTTTTGAACATTAGCTTTTAAAGTATCTTTTTTCTTTTTGCAAGAAGTTTTATATTTTGAATTACAAATAAAAAATTACAAAAAAATTTTGGTTAAACAAATTTTAAAATGTCATATTGTGTTAAGTGCTGTGAAAAATAGACATGGGTTAGAAAATAGTCTTGGTATGTGTTTTTGTTTGTTTTTTAATCTGGGATGATTAGAGGAACTCCTGACCAAGCAGAGGACATATAAGCAGAGGTATAAATAAATACTAGTGAGCTATACCGCTATCTGAGAATAGAGGGAAGAATAGAGATGCAAAAGCCTGACAGAGGAATGAGCTTGGTACATGTATATGAAGAGTGACAAGTCATTTTGACTAAAACGGAGTAGGCAAGAAAACCAGTCCACGTGTGAAGATACTAGAGTGCTTTCAGTAAAGGAAAGAAGTAATCTGAATTTCATCTTTAAATGTTTACTCTGTTCAACATCATTAAAATATAGACTGGCAAGGAAAGTAGGGAACAAGAATGGAAGCTAGAAAATGAGTTAAGAGGTGAGAGATAGTGGTTGCTTGCACTAAAATAGTGCCAGTGAGGGATAACAAGAAGCTGTCAGATTAACTCAATTTACTGGAGTATGGATGATAAAAATGCTGGAATAATAGGGGAGGGCTGTTGATAAAATAGAATGAGAAAGGGATTTCAGTTCATTTAAATCTCATATCCACTGCCTGCTTTAGCAAGTTCCCTAACCTTTCTGGTCTTTAACTTTCTCTGCTTTAAAATGGAAAAACCTAACTTGTAGTGTTGTTTTGACAATTATTCTGACTATGCATGTTAAAGGTCCTTGGCTTGTTATGACCACTATTTTATGTTAACTTCTTTTTCTCACTTTAGTTGAAGTTTTTAGAACTAATAGATCCTAAATATCATTGTTGATCACATATTTTGTATGTTTGTATAGTGTTGTTTGTATGAAAAAAAATTGAATTTTTATACAGATAGTAAGAGAAATATTCTTTTGGAACACAACCATTCATGGATTGAAGTTTGTAATCGAAAAACTATTGATGACCTTCAATCTGCAGGTTTCATAGAACTATTTAGTTAATACTTGGAGCTTATCTTTTTAAATCATGTATTAAAATCACCTTTTAGGTACATAGTAAGAAAATGTAGGAAATCTTAGAAAGCAATTGCCTTCTGAAGATCATACTTGGTATACTACTTTATCTTATAGAAATATGTCTTCACTAATTTAAGATTAGTCATATTTGTGGATTTTCATTTTAAATTTTTTCTTTCTCTAGGTGAAGCTGTACTTCACAAAAACAGTAGAGGAGCCATCAAATCCAGAGGCTAGCAGTTCAACTTCTGTAACGCCAGATGTTAGTGACAATGAACCTGATCATTATAGATATTCTGACACCACTGACTCTGATCCAGAGAATGAACCTTTTGATGAAGATCAGCATACACAAATTACAAAAGTCTGAATTTTTTTTTTATCAAGAGGGATAAAACACCATGAAAACAAACTTGAATAAACTGAAAATGGACCTTTTTTTTTAATGGCAATAGGACATTGTGTCAGATTACCAGTTATAGGAACAATTCTCTTTTCCTGACCAATCTTGTTTTACCCTATATATCCACAGGGTTTTGACACTTGTTGTCCAGTTGAAAAAAGGTTGTGTAGCTGTGTCATGTATATACCTTTTTGTGTCAAAAGGACATTTAAAATTCAATTAGGATTAATAAAGAAAGATGGCACTTTCCCATTTTATTCCAGTTTTATAAAAAGTGGAGACAGACTGATATGTATACGTAGGAATTTTTCCTTTTGTGTTCTGTCACCAACTGAAGTGGCTAAAGAGCTTTGTGATGTACTGGTTCACATCCTACCCCTTTGCACTTGTGGCAACAGATAAGTTTGCAGTTGGCTAAGAGATGTTTCTAAAGGGTTTTGCTACATTCTAATGCATGTAATTTGGGTTAGGGGATTGGAGGGAATGCTCAGAAAGGAGTATATTTTATGCTGGACTCTGGACCATATACCATCTCCAGCTATTCACACACACCTTTCTTTAGCATGCTACAGTTATTTAATCTGGACATTTGAGGAATTGGCCGCTGTCACTGCTTGTTGTTCGTGCATTTTTTTTTTAAAGCATATTGGTGCTAGAAAAGGCAGCTAGAGGAAGTGAATCTGTATTGGGGTACAGGAATGAACCTTCTGCAACATCTTAAGAATCCACAAATGAAGGGATATAAAAATAATGTGGTCATAGGTAAGAAACACAGCAACAATGACTTAACCATATAAATGTGGAGGCTATCAAAGAATGGGCTTGAAACGCAAAAATTTGACAATGATTTATTAAATATGTTTTCTCAATTGTAATGACTGCTCCATCTCCTGTGTAATCAAGGCCAGTGCTAAAAGTCAGATGCTATTAGTACCTACATCAGTCAACAACTTACACTTAGTAGTTTTCAATCATATACCTGCTGTGGATGCTTCATGTGCTGCCTGCAAGCTTTTTTTCTCATTAAATATAAAACATTTTGTAATGCTACAAGGAAATTTCAATTTGAGATTCTACAGTAAGTGTTTTTTTTTTCTTTGAGGATTTATGATGCACTTATTCAATCCAATAGCTGTCAGCCGTTCCACCCCTTTGACCTTACACATTCTATTACAATGAGTTTTGCAGTTTTGCACATTTTTTTAAATGTCATTAACTGTTAGGGAATTTTACTTGAATATTGAATACATATGATGTTTATATTAAAAAGGATATTATTTGTGTTAAAAAGAAAATTAGTATTGCAGTACATTATCAACACTGCACAAATACTAAGACATTTAATTTTTCAGTAGAAATTGTCCTACATATGCTTTATTGATTTCCTATCGAAAGAATAGGTTTTTTTTTAAATGTGCAGTGTTGTATCATTTCTTCATAGTGCTAGAGTTGGGACTAGGGCTTCAATTTCACTTAAATATCATATATTTGATATGCCCAGACTGCATACAATTTTAAGCAGAATACAACTACTATTGTAAAGCTAATGTGAAAATACTATTAAAAAGGATTTTTCTCCAGAAATTTGGTGTCTTTCAAATTATACTTTGACCTTGACATTTGAATAACCAGCCATTATATTTCTTAGTGGTATAAAATTCCATTTTCAATAACTTAATGGTGCTGAACTTGTTCACTAGCTGTGGTCTGACTTAGTTAATTTACAAATACAGATTGCATAGGACCTACTAGAGCAGCATTTATGGAGTTTGATGGTAAATAGATTAGGCAGAACTTCATCCAAAATATTCTCCGTAAATGTTGACATGTTTTCCATACCTCATCATTTTCATTCAACAAATAAAATTTTTAAATTTTTAACAAAGTTCTTAGGATTTACACCTTTATATTTAAACATTGATAGAGTTGTTGATTGACGGCTCTTAAGTTAAATTGGTAAAGTTAGAGACAACTATTCCTAAGATCTCACCACTGAAATTTATATACCACCTTGTTTTTCATAAAAGCTGAAAATTGTTGACTAAAATGAAAATCAACTTCATGTTTCGAAGATATTAATACTGTTCTTTATTACAATTTGGGCACAGCATATTAAGTCACAACTTGTATTGTTCCAATATGTTACATGGAGGGCCAGGTCATAAATGATGACATTATAATGGGCTTTTGCACTGTTATTATTTTTCCTTTGGAATGTGAAGGTCTGAATGAGGGTTTTGATTTTGAATGTTTCAATGTTTTTGAGAAGCCTTGCTTACATTTTATGGTGTAGTCATTGGAAATGGAAAAATGGCATTATATATATTATATATATAAATATATATATTATACATACTCTCCTTTATTTCAGTTACAATTCCCATAGAATTTGACAAGAATTGCTATGACTGAAAGATTTTCGAGTCCTAATTAAAACTTTATTTATGACAGTATTCATAATTAGCCTGAAATGCATTCTGTAGGTAATCTCTCTGAGTCTCTGGAATGTTTTCTTAGACTTTTTGGATGTGCAGCCAGCTTACATGTCTGAAGTTACTTGAAGGCATCACTTTTTAAGAAAGCTTACAAATGGGCCCTGTCCTATCCCAAGTCCTTTGTAGCTCCTCTTGAACATTTTTGCCATAGTTACAAAAGGGTAGTTGAAAAAATAGCATCACCATTCTTTGCTGTGGCACAGGTTATAAACTTAAGTGGAGTTTACCGGCAGCATCAAATGTTTCAGCTTTAAAAAAATAAAAGTAGGGTACAAGTTACATGTTTAGTTCTAGAAAATTTGTGCAATATGTTCATAACGATGGCTGTGGTTGCCACAAAGTGCCTCGTTTACCTTTAAATACTGTTGATGTGTCATGCATGCAGATGGAAGGGGTGGAACTGTGCACTCAAGTGGGGGCTTTAATTGTAGTGTTTGGCAGAGTTGCCTTCTACCTGCCAGTTCAAAAGTTCAATCTGTTTTCATATAGAGTATATATACTAAAAATTTCAGTCTGTTCAACAGCCTTACTCTGATTCAGCCTCTTCAGATACTCTTGTGCTGTGCAGCAGTGGCTCTGTGTGTAAATGCTATGCACTGAGGATACACAAAAATCCCAATATGATGTGTACAGGATAATGCCTCATACCAATCAGATGTCCATTTGTTATTGTGTTTGTTAACAACCCTTTATCTCTTAGTGTTATAAACTCCACTTAAAACTGATTAAAGTCTCATTCTTGTCATTGTGTGGGTGTTTTATTAAATTAGAGTTTATAATTTAAATTTCATAAATCCATTAAAATTTTAAATAATGGGCAGCCAAATGCCAAATGTGATTAAGAAGTTTTTTGTAAGTTTTTTTCCCTCCCTGCTGTCCTTCAAAGCCTACCATTTTAAAAGCATGGCCTTCATCAGCTTGGGAGTAGAGTATCTTGTCTCCTTATGTCTAAGAAGCATTTACTTTCAGGGCTTTAGTCACAAGCACATTCAATAGCATTCTAATCCTGGAAATTCAAGAATTTGGGGAAATTGTGCATTTTTTAATTAAATAAGCCAGGTGTCTAAAGATAATTCCCCAGAATCAGATTTCAATTTTGTGGCTTTTCCTTATAATTCTATGCTGTGCCATCAACATATGGGGCGCTTTATCTACTCATTGTGACTTGTGCCATATAAAAATTCATATTGCAGAGTAGTTTAAAGGACTTTTGTGTACTTGAATTGAATCTTGTTTCTAACTTCCTTAAAAGCTTAAAGACAAAAGCATATTCTTTCAACAAAGCATAGTAAGGTAGTAAGTGGAAATGTAACTTGTTACCAGTGTTTTGAAAATAAAGCAGACTATTAATTAACAATGGATTTAATGTTATTAAGTTTACATCTCCATGTGACTTTTTAAAAGTAAATGTGAATAATGTGCAATAATGTAAAGTATAAAGTGTATAATTGTGTGTGTGTGTGCACACGTTTTATTTTTAGGTATCTTAGGTAAAATTATGGTTGAAAAGTATACTTGAGTCTGAAATTATTCAGATTTATAAGGAGATATTTTGGTGATGTTTGAAAAGTAGGAATTTTTCTGACAATTCTGTTGGTATATCTTGTCCTTGCTACACTGTAATTTGAGCTGGCTTGGTTCAGTGAATGCCATCACCATTTCCATTGAGAATTTAAAAATCACCAAGGTGTAACATGCAGGCTTCCAAAGGCTTCCCAAAAAATCAAGACCCTTAAATCTGGTTGATTTGCTGCTAACATGAAACTCTTTTGGTTCTTTTAATTTTGCCAGATACTTAGCCACACTTCTAAAGCTCAGTCTTAAATGGTTTAAGTATAAGTTTTGATTAGCAGTGCTGTTGCTTGTGAAGAAACATTTGTGAGTGGAAACAAAAATATTCAGTGCTGGTGTAAGAACAGTACATAAAAACTGGCAAGATAATGGAGAAAAATTTTTAAAGATGAGATGTTAGAGACTCAACTTTCCTATAGATTTATACACCTATAGGAAGCCTAATGATTAAGTTGCTTATCAGCTTTTAATTTTAGAGCAAATCATTCTTTTATGCTATTTTTCCATCTTTGGAGAGATCTATCTTAGAATACAGGTAGCCACTCAGACAAATTCACGTTGGTTGGTAGCTTTAAAAAAAAAGGTAATGTGAAGACAGGAAAGGACAAAATAGTTTCATTTGGTGGTAATATGCTGGCTTTTAAGTTAGATATTTTGAAAATACTTTACCCGTTACAACAACCATAATCCTACCACCTGGAGATGTAGCCATTATTAATACTTAAGTGATTATACAATCATTTTTTTCTCCTATAGTCATGTATATATTTTCTTTAAAAAATTTATACTGCGCATACTCTCAAAGCCTTTTAGCTTAGTATTTCTGTCATGGATTTGTAGAATGTTCCATTGCCTTGGAAAATGGGCGGTTATTTGATTATTTTCTAATGCTACAGGTGAAGATTATGTGCAGTTACTGTGAGTCCTTTCCAATTCATTGGGTTATCCGTAAATGTTTAAATACTTTTGGCATTAGGATGACATATCTAAGCAAATGAAACAGTTACATTTATTTAACATAGACAAGCTTAACGTTATAGATGCTTCTCTTCAAAAATCTTAAAACATTTGCATTTGCAAGTTTGTGTTAAATAGTTCAACAGAACGTGTGAAACACTATATTAGTAGTTAACTTCATCACCTTTCTGTTTCCCTTACAGGTTGGAAAAGAAAGATGAGCTTTTCAGTTTTTAGAGTTCCCAAATAGTTGCTCAATTTAGATCAAATTAATAACACCTGCAACAAGAAGGCGGTTACTGCTGGTTTAGCACTTAGTTGTCTTTAAATGTGAGTGCTCATGTGACTTCCATCACATCCAAAACTTAGTAATTCATAATGATTCACCTTTAGCGCCACAATTTATCATGTTTAGTATTATGGTGGGCATAGAATGTGAAGTTTTTTTGACAGTCGTTTGAGAATTTTTGGTGAAAAAACATTTAGCTAAGGTTAGTATATAATTTATAAACCAATGTATGGATATTTTAAAAACATTTTACATATGAGTGAAGTTAACTGCCATCTTTCAGCGTAACTGCATTTAAAAATAAAGCTGCATATTTTTAAATGAACTGTTTAACCAAGGATTTATATTTTTCATTTTTAAAAATTCAACATAATTTATATTTCCTCTGTTGCATGTGAATTCTCATCTGTCCTTATAATAGTTAGAGATTTTGTTTGTATAGAATGGAGCAAGGCTTATAGTCATGGTTCTAGTGTTTCGGTTTGCCAGATCTGTTCACTGTAGTGGAATTCATGACATGTTTAGGTATGGTTTTCTGTAGCCTGTCACTTACTGGGTAATATTTATATGCATCTTTAGGATTTCTGCCTGTTCTATCCAGTTGTCCAAATAATAGTCCCACGTTTACAAATGCCCTTTGAAGTTTCAATTTTCTTTTTCCATTAAATTGCTCTGATGCCCCAATGAGCAGTTTATAAGTGTGTGTATACATGTGTTTGTGTGTGTGATTGTGTGTGTTGTGTGGGGGTGAATTAGACTTTGAAAAGTTTTGAACTCCAGCTTTAGAGATTACTAGTTTAATTCAGGCAAACATTTCTCACTGGAATTTCGCAGTTCATTGTAATGAAAATGTTAACCCTGGATGACCTCTGACCTACAGTACTGAATCTTGGATATTAATGAATTTGTTAGTAGCATCTCGATGTGTGCTTTAATGAGTTATTTTCAAAGTTGTGCATTAAACCAAAGTTGGCATATTTGGAAATGTTTATATAATGTTCCATTTGGCTACTGATGGACATAAAAATAGAAATGCCTTCCTATGGAGAGTATTTTTTCCTTTAAAAAATTAAAAAGGTTAATTATTTTGACTATTGGTTTTAAACTTTTTATTTATCTAACAAATAATTTATCAAGTCCCTGCTGCATATAACTGGCGTTTGGAGTTTATTGGTGTTCGAAACAGACATTCTTATCCTTGCCTTTGGGAAGTTTACCCTCCAGTAAAAGAAAACAGACTTTACTAGAATAATTATAAACTATGATTGCCGTGAAATATGAGATGCATATGATACAGTAATGACCATCAAAACTTCCATATGCCCCTAAATGTCCACCCCCGTGGAGATAGATGAGGCTTATATAACTCATTCATACCAATAAAATACCAGTGAAAGTGACTTGACACTTAAAGGCAGTTTCTCTCTTCCCTGCTGCTGTGGCCAAGACATGCCACTGTCATCCTGGGTCTTGACTGACCTCCTGAAGAAGCAGAACTCCCTCAAATTCTCCCTCCCCAACACTGAACTTGCAAGATATTAGCATGAATAAGAAATAAAGTATATCTACACTGATACTTGGGGACAATTTATTATCATGGCAGCCATTATGTCCTGACTAATATGGTGCTTTGGAAAGATGATGAAAGCAATTTTTTTTTTTTGAGAGTCTCACTATGTCACCCTTTTGTAGAGTGCTATAGCATTACAGCTCACAGCAACCTCAAACTCTTG